GAGTCGGTTCCGACTCAATGGCACCTGACAACAACAACAATCTAATATGTAGGGATATTTATAATTTACCTTTATGACTTGTTTGCTTGTTTGTTGCACAGGAGAGCCAGGTCTCTGGGTGGTGCAAATGGCTTGCGCTTAACCAATAACCCAAATGCCTTTAATACCTAATGTGGCGTCCTGGTGTGGCGCTGTAAGATAAGCACTGGACCACAAAGTCAGCAGTTCAAAGCTCACCAGCCACTCCTCGGAAACCTTATACAGGGTTACTATGAGTCGGAAACGATTCGACAGCACTTAACAACAGAATTTGTTGTTATTATACTGACTGTAATTAGATTAAATGCACCAGTCGGGGAATCAGAATAGCAGACTGGATAAAAAACCAGGATTCTTCAATAAGCTGAGAAAAAGAGACACATCTTAACAACAACGATAACCCAAAGATTGTCATTGTGAATTTTCTCAGTGTTGCCATGGAATAAAGGCCCATGGGAGAAAGGCATAGCTATCTGCTTCTGTAAAGATTACAGCCATGAGTAGGAATCAACTGGATGGCACAAAGCAACAACTGTAGCCCTTTAGATTAATCTCCTTTTAGCTAGACTAGGGAGTGAGGCGGCTCTGCAGGTTAAGCACTGAACTGACAACCACACGATCAGTGGTTCAAGTCCACTAGCCCCCACAGGAGAAAGCTGCAGCTTCCTGCTCCCACAAAGATGTATAGCCCCAGAAACTCTAGGCAGGGTTACTATGAATCGGAACCGACTCTACTCCACGGCACATAATAACAACAACAACAATCTAGAATAGTTCCCCAGTTTCTTTTGTCTTTCATGGTATTGGCATTTTTAAAAACGTCCAAGCCAGTGACTTTGCAAGATGTCCTTAATTTGGATTTATGTTTCTCATGATTAAATTGGGGGTAAACATTCTTGGCAAATATGTGACACAGATGATGTGTTGTTCTTAGTGAATCACACCGGGAGGCAAATGATGTCACCTGGTTCCATCTCTACCAATTTCATTGATGATAGTAAGTTTAATCACTTGGGAGTTGTCTGCCAAGTTTCTCCATTGTAAAGGTATCCCCCCACACCTGTAATAAATAAGGGGAGCCACTTTGAGAGTGTATTAATATTCTGTTTCCCAACAGTCTTCAGATTGTTGTTGTTAAATGCCATCAAGTTAGTTCCGACTTTATAGGGTTTCCAAGAAGTGGGTGGCAAGTTTGAACTGCCAACCTTGTGATTCGAACCGACCTTAGGGTTAAGTGCTTATTTTATAGCGCCACGCCAGGACTCCAAAAAGCCTGCAGTAGTTGATAGTCCTAGATAGTCTCCCATCCAAGTACTAACCCGGCTCGACCCTGCTTAGCTTCCAAGATCTGACAAGATTGGGTGCATTCAGGGTGTTATGGCTGTGGATGTCTCTCAGGTAGTAGTTTTAATTTCCATAGATGGTGACAAAACTGGTGATTACTTTCCCAATGCTTTCGTGTGTGTGTGTGTGTGTGTGTGTGTGTGTGTGTGTGCAACCTCACAATCAAGAAATCCTGCTAGAACACTATAATCTACAGTCCTTAGATATTGCCATTGTCCCAGTAGCGTCCTGGACACCATATCTGTCTAGTTCAGGATCCAGTCCAGGATGACAGCTTACGGTTCACTCTTCTTTCTCTTTAGTCTCCTGTAGTCTGGGGACAGTTCTTCAGCCTTACTTTTTGTCACTCAGGACTTTGATAATTTAGAAGAGCACAGCTCAGCTCTTTTGTTCATGTGACGTTTCCTCCAGGTGTTTGGCAAGAGGACCTCAAAGTGATGTTTGTCCCCAGTGCAAGGCATATGCTGTCCGTGTGTCAGGTTGCCAGTGATGTTAAGATGTTCTCCAGATTTTCTCTAATATTGTTATTTTACCATTTGTAATTAATGAGTAATTAGTGGGGAGAGACTTCAAGACTCTGTAAATATTTAATCTCGTTTTCATATCTGTTGATGTTTCTTGCCTGAATCAGGTATTACCGTATTGGTTGCAGTACTTAATTTTTGAACAATGTATTTTGTTTTTGTTTTGTCTTATGGCTTGAAACAGTAAAAGTCAGAAATGTATTTCATTACATTTGCCCTGGAATGATGGCCAACCTTTGCAAACTCATGACTGTCTTTCTGCATTATGGCTGTGATAAAGGAACACTGAGAGTTTGCTATTTTATTAAACATTTTGGGGGGCCATATGCTGTTCTTTGCAATATTTACTCTTAAATTCAACCAAAGGGAAAAAATAGCATTGTGCCTCAAGAGAAGCCGGATGAATAAAACAATAGGCTGATATCTTGGCTCTGCTATTTTCAGTTACTGCTGAGAGTAATTTTAGAGCCAACTGTGCCCCTGATTCTAATCTTTTGCCTTCTACTGGTTTTTTTCTTTTTTCCTCATGTGAATACAATGACTGAAGGCTGGAAAATGTCGGTTAAGTTTGCTGTGCCTCAGTTTCTCTATCTATATGGTGGTGGTGGTGTGCCATAGAGTCGGTTCTGACTCATAGTGACCCTGCATAGAGTTTCCGAGGTTATAAATCTTTGTGGGAGCAGAAAGCCTCATCTTTCTCCCGAGGAACAGTTGGTAGTTTTGAACTACTGACCTTGAGGTTAGCAGCCCGACTCATAACCACTATGCTACCAGAGCTCCTTTATGTCTCTAAATATGTCCCTTATGTTATAATCTGGTCTGGGTCCCTCATTGCTATGCAGTGGCATAAGGGAATCCGTTTGGGTATGAGCCGCCCTTTTCTTCCTACCAATCTTTCGTTTTATTTCATCTCTCTGCCTTATTCATATGAACTGAGATCACCCTCAGGTTAACAATGAAACAAGCCGGCCACAAAAGCTTCCTCCACCTACTCTCCTACCAGGACTTCACTTGGAATCCTTGTTGTTAAGTGCTGTCGAGTCAGTTCCGACCCATAGCAACCCTGTATAGGATTTGGAGTCCTTAGGTAATATAAAAGCTAAACCCATTGCTGTGGAGTTCATTCTGACTGATAGCGACCCTATTGGACAAGAGTAGCTCGATTGCTAGCCAAAAGGTCAGTGGTTCAAGCCCACCAGTCTCTCCACAGAAGAAAAATGTAGCAGTCTGTTTCCTAAAGATCATATAGCCTTGGAAATGCTAGGGGGCAGTTCTACATTGGCTGTACGGGTGCTAGGAATTGGAGTCAATTCTTCAATAATAGCTTTTTATGTGTTAAAGACACTTGACTACTAAGCAAAGTTTAATGATTCATGTTTGCCCAGAGGCACCTTGGAAGAAAGGCCTGGAGATCTCCTTCTAAAACCTCAGCCATTGAAAACCCTATGTTGCATAGTTCTACTCTGATACACATCGTAGGGTGACCATGAGTTGGAACCCTCTCCATGGTCTCCTAGAAAATAGGTTAATGCCTACCCCAAATACTTTCGGAGAAACAGAGCTTTGACTTTTCAAAATGTCTTACTTTGAAAATAGTTCATGTTTACAGAAAACTGTCAGATGCCTTTTCTCAGATTCACCACTGCCAGGGTTCTCTCTGAGAGGCAGAACTGCCATGAGTGAAATGTGCTTTATGGCAGGGTTTAGACTGTTGCTGTGGTTATGTGCCGTGGAGTCGGTTCTGACTCATAGTGACCCTGTACAGGATTTCTGAGGCTGTTGATCTTTACGGGAGCAGAAAGCCTCATCTTTCTCCTGCGGAACAGCTGGTAGTTTCGAACTGCTGACCTTGTGGTTCGCAGCCCGATTCATAACCACTACACTACCAGAGACTACACAGGGTTATTTGACAGGGTCAGCACAAG